GGCCCTCTCGCGGCCGGGGGAGGGCTAGCACGGGGCTGGTGTAGCCTCTCGTGCATTCCCTGGCCAGCCTGGCTCTGGACATGCATCTGCATCAGGTCCTCACCGGTGCTGTCAACCCTGGAGACAACTGCTACTCCGTGGGCAGCGTCCAGGATGTCCCTTTCACGGATTTGGGATATTTGAAAGATGACTTAAGAAATTATAATCAGGAGAGGAGAACCAAGATGGCGGCGTAAGGTACAGACCTGTGCGTGCTGCCTCCCACAACAACATCGAGACTACCAACTATAAAACAAACAGTTATCATTCAGAACCATGGGAAAGCTGGCCCAGTGGAAGCTCTACAACTGAAAGGAAAGAAAGAAGAGCATTGAGACTGAGTAGGTTGTGCAGAGGCTCCAAGAACGGAGGTACGGAGTCGCGCGCCAGGGGGGCTGCAACTGGATGCGTGTTTTTTTCAATCAGAAGGGGATGCAGACTCTCAAATCCACTGAGCTTGTTTGGGGCGGGATCCTGAGGTCCCAGACCCCTACAGGGAGAGGTGGGATGGCCTTGCAATGGGCCGGAGAGCGAGAGTGGCTGTCTCGCGGAGCTGCTCGCCAGCACTCGGGGACGCGAGACGCGGAGTAGCGGAGAGGCGAGGAGTGGCGGAGACGCCACTGCCCCTTGCTCTGGTGATTCCCAGGGACCCCGCCCTACTCAATTTACATCCCCACCCACGCTGTGCTAGTGGCACAAAGAGAACCACCGGCGCTTTTGCAGCCCAGCCCAGCAGAATGCAGATTTCAACTCCTCGCATACATAAGGGACACACTCAAAAAGCAGAATCAGGTTCGGAGGAAGCCAGAGCCAGACCTGCCTGGGCTGGCAACGTGGAACCGCTGTACCAGCAAATGCACAGGCAGGTCCACCAGATCCAGTCTCACATGGGACGCTGGGAGACGGCAGACAGGCAGTCTGTGCACTTGATAGAAAACAAAATCCAAGCAGGCATACCAGATATTCAACCACCAGGAACACCTGGAGATTTTGTCAAGCAAGAAGCCACCCAACAAAGGACAGAATGCCAAACTTCGTGTTGCTGAGACGGCCCCTGTGAGGCCGAGGCGGCCCATGTGAAGTTGAGACGGCCCCTGTGAGGCTGAGACAGCCCATGTGAAGTTGAGATGGCCCCTGTGAGGTCGAGACGGCCCCGGTGAGGCTGGAACCGCCCCGGTGAGGTTGAATCGGCCCCGGTGATGTCGAGACAGCCCCGGTGAGGCTGAAACGGCCCCGGTGAGGCTGAGACGGCCCATGTGAAGTTGAGACGGCCCCTGTGAGGTTGAGACGGCCCCTGTGAGGCTGAGACGGCCCCGGTGAGGTTGAGACGGCCCCATTGAGGTTGAATCGGCCCCAGTGAGGCCGAGACAGCCCATGTGAGGCTGAGACGGCCCATGTGAGGCTGAGACGGCCCCGGTGAGGTTGAATCGGCCCCGGTGGGGCTGAGACGGCCCCGGTGAGGCCGAGACGGCCCATGTGAGGTTGAGACGGCCCCTGTGAGGCTGGGACGGCCCCGGTGAGGCTGAGACGCCCCTGGTGAGGTTGAATCGGCCCCAGTGAAGTCAAAACGGCCCCGGTGAGGCTGGGACGGCCCCGGTGAGGCTGAGACGCCCCCGGTGAGGCTGAATCGGCCCCAGTGAGGTTGAGACGGCCCCGGTGAGGCTGGGACGGCCCCGATGAGGCTGGGACGGCCCCGGTGATGTTGAGACAGCCCCGGTGAGGTTGAATCGGCCTAGGTGAGGTCTAGACGGCACCGGTGAGGTCGAGATGGCCCTGGTGAGGCTGAATCGGCCCCTGTGAGGCTGAAACAGCCCCGGTGAGGCTGAATCGGCCTAGGTGAGGTCTAGACGGCACCGGTGAGGTCGAGATGGCCCTGGTGAGGCTGAATCGGCCCCTGTGAGGCTGAAACAGCCCCGGTGAGGCTGAATCGGCCTAGGTGAGGTCTAGACGGCACCGGTGAGGTCGAGATGGCCCTGGTGAGGCTGAATCGGCCCCTGTGAGGCTGAAACAGCCCCGGTGAGGCTGAATCGGCCCTGGCGAGGTTGAGACGGCCCAGGTGAGGTTGAGACTGCCTCGGTGAGCTTGCAACAGCCCCAGTGAGGTTGAGGCAGCCCCTGTGAAGCTGAGGTGGCCCCTGTGAGGCTGAGACAGCCCCAGTGAGGCTGAGATGGCCCCTGTGAGACTGAAACAGCCCCTGGGAAGCTGATAAAAATACCACATGAACTCACTCATTTATGGATAATAAGGACCATTATAGACTGATGAACAAAAATGGATATTCTGGCAAAGCAGCATTGAGCAGACTGTCAAACTACAGTGGGAACCCTGGGGAGTGTTGGTGGGGGTAGGAGATCAACCGAAGGATTTATATGCATGCTTATGAGAATAACTAATGAACACAAGACACTGCGGGGTGGGGGAAGCCAGGGGAATGTCA